GCACACTCACATATGACTATCATATTACATCCACAAGTAGTAACTCAAGTCGAACGACATAATCAACAGCCAATGGAAATGTTCGTTACTAATAAAAACTATTCCATTTAAGATTGAGTTCACGTCACGTTTTTGATTTCGCTCATGCAAATCGGAGCGCCAATAGCAACAATGAACAAAGCCACAGACTGTAAAATTAGAAAACTTCGCTCTGGCATACAAATGAAGCGTCTAAATTGTCCACGCCCTCTCTTGGCAACAATTGTCCTCTTAGCAGCCAATAAGCCGCACCCAAATCATTGTGGGAAAGTAAGCATTGAGGAACTGAACCTCCTGTATGTGAAAGGGAAGTGTGTCCCAGACTTTTATTTGGGCCCAAGATTGCCGCAACAGCCGGTGAGGAGCACACAATGGGGACATAATTGTAATTGCGAGCGAAATAGTTGGACTGGCATCAAGAAATGCGATGGCACTTGGCGCCGTTCCAAATGGCAGCCTCAGCTGGTGCACAGATAATAGCGAGTAGGGCGTCTGGTAATAGTTGTAGTTCACTTTTCAGTTTCAGCCTCAGTCTCCATATCTATTCCCATTAACGTCGAACCATTTTAATATTTAAAATATCATTCGCAAAGCGAACACAGCACAACCCAGAATTTTACGACCAGGATGAATAATTCAGCAGGAGACAATAATAATAGTTAGGATATGCCTTGCGCCGGCAAGCTCTTGACTATCAACTCCCTGAATCCTGTATCCAGGCAGTAGACTTAAGTGCTTTGCATGTGAAAATCCCTTTAAAACACACACGTTGACTTAAGTGGAGTTGAAGGGGAGTCGGAAGGGGCACAATATATTGACGACACTCGTATGGACTTGGGGTGGGCTGTGGCAGAATGAGAATGAGGTGGCAGTTGAGAGTCGAGACTGGCAGGAGAACCACTGCAAGGCGGCATTTAATATGCAAATTAAAGTGCAGCCAGGTGAGCAGTTGAAACCAGACCAGACCAACCGCGTCTCAAGTGAGAGTCGCGGGAATGTTAATTTTCTGGCTCAAGTTGAAGGCGCCCAGAAGAATGCAAAGGCTTTTATCAAGCCCAAACTTTAACTTGCGAATGTTGCGTATACGCCACGTGCGCCCAAGCACAGTATAAGCCAAAATATATGTATATTTATATATATATGTATGTATTTGTGAGCGTATGTGAGTTGTATGTGTGTTGAGTGAAAGCCATAAATTTTGCTGGCTGAAGCACGTCGAAATTCAAATTTACTTCGTTGGCGTACAAATCTTTCGTACGACTATCGCCAGCTGGCCAAAGCCAACGGATAAACTCACAGGAGAGACCACAAATATTCCCGTCAGGCTGTTGCCATTTGCCAGTTGCCTGTTGTTGTATTTGATTTGATGAAATGCAAATTTATAAGCAGAAAGTTGAATTGAGATACAGGAAAACATGAAACAGAGGAAAACAAAAACATCATAATAAAGAAAAAGGAACAAATGATATGCATGACTCCCTCAAGAGATAGCCAAGTTTAAAAACAAAAACTTAGACTTTAAATATGGAATATAGATGTAAGAACAATGGATCAGCATCTCTGGAATATATAACAGGTCAGCTATATTTTTACTCCCCATTCACAGAGTTTGATTTTGTACCATGCAGTTTAAACTACTTTTTTTTATTAATTAGTAAATTGTTTGTTTACTCTAATTAAGAGCTTACCTTAAGCCTCGCTTCAACTAATGGTTCTCGCATTGTTAAACTTCTTAAAAGTGCCACAAAGCAGAAAGTTAATTTGTAGAGTTATGGCCAGACAAAGCCGGGTCTCTGACCTCGAGGGGCAAGGAACCAGCCTGTTCGTGTAGCTGCTTATAATATCCCAAGAGTGTAAAAGTGACGACAATGGGTCTCGGCTACCCACCCACTTCTCGGGAGTCCTGATTCCTGCTTTCTCATAGCCAAATGTCATTGGCATGAGCTTCGACTAGAGGATGCCCTCTCTTATTATAATGAGTATTTTTTATAAAGCAGAGGCAGGCTTATTAATTATACATATAACTTTATCAGCAGCATTTGAGCAGACAGACTGTGTCCTTATTCTCATCTCAATAGGACTGAAAGTCATCTCGTCAACCTGTTGGGTCTTCTTATCTCCTATCTGCTTATCATGCGGCAAATCCGTTTATTGTATACCCTTCTGAGTGCCATTGAAGGCAGAAATCTCTCTGTCAAGGGGCAATGCCAATGCCAACGCCATTCACAATTCTCAACAGAAAGAGGCAACAGAATGGAAGTCTTTCGCACAATGGGCATAAATGCAATACAATCTGTTATGCGAATGTGAAAAGTATAAGCGAAAGCTTTTCATATTCAACCTGACACTGAGAAATGATTTCAATTTCTCACCCCGCCCCCTCCAGGAGTCGTCTCGTTCAACATGGAAATCCAATTGATGCTGAGGCGTTTGTTGAGAGCAACTCACACCTTTTTCTCTTCTTAAACTGATTTTGGCTTCAGCATTGAAATTCATTTCACAGTCTGTATCTTGCTCTCTTTCCCTCAGAGGTTGTCTGCCAGTTGCGCACCTGCCAATTGCCCACTAGAAGAAGGAGGTGGCTAAGCTTCTGTGATTCTCTTTGCTATTGGTTTCAGGGTTTTGGGCTTTCCGTCAGCTACTGGAAATGAATTGTATTTTTCGTTTCAAATTCACATCAATTTCGAAATCTGGTTTTCCGTTTCCCGCTCGTTAGGGAATCGAGGTGGGTAAGTGGTGTCGAGCAACTGCTCGGTGGGGCACAACATGTTTGCGAGCTTTTTTGTTTTTTTTTTTATAAGCAAGCGCAAGGCAACTGTGTGGCAAATTGTTTTGCAGTTTAAATCACTTGCTATCAATCCCTAAATTGCCGGCTGTTAAAATGATAAACGCTCCGTTGGGCTGATAGACTTATTTTCAGTCGAGTCCACCTGGGTTGCTACTCAGTTCAAGAGAATAGTAGCCAGTGAAACGTTTTTGCGGTTTAGAAAGGAATTTCGAATTGCATTTTAATGGCTGTTTTCGACTCATAGCAGATTGAGCTGAAACTCGAACCGATGCTTATTCTATTATTTTTTAATTCAACTAAGAGTGATTTAGAAAAATATCTGAATTTCACATATAATCATATTTAATTTGAAATATTTTTCCATATTCGCAGATCATTTTTCAAGACTGATAGGTAAATACAGCCGAACCATAAAGTGAATGTAAATAATTCTGAAAAACACACAGAAAATAAGGCAAAATATTTTGGCCGTCTGAATTATTTATAGAATATCTGGCAAATTTCTGGTATCTGTTTAGGCAACAGCTAAAACAAACAATCCATGTGTACACAAATTGATTTCGTTTATATCAGCATATAAGAAAATGGAATGCAAAATGGAATGAAGTCTCACCAATGAGATCATTCGCTTAATGTACTCAGCCACAATCTAACGAATAGATAAATTTCTGCATGTGTGAATTTTTATCTGCAAATTGATTACAATGGCTCCTACAGGGCCTCTTCAAATTAGGACTTCTCACTATTCTCTAGCGAGTTCACTTTTTGTACTCCCAGTTTGTTTGCTTCTCAATTTGCGTTGCCAGCAGAAACAAAGCGAATTGCTGAATTGTCAGTCGTGCAAATGTTTATCGTGAATTGCTGCGGGCTGTTTATTCTTATGTTTACTTGACTGTTGACTTTCCATTTGAATGTGGCCCACGATACAACAAAAGAGCAACTAATGCCCAATTGGCTAATTGATGTGTGCACTGAGAGTAAAGGACAAAGATAAACATTTCAAGCTTCATCTTTAAATCACAGAATTCAAAAGCCAAAGCAGTGCCTAGATTGCACGGCGTGTCCTACACAGAATTCTGCTGCCTGACTGACAGAGTGACAAACTGACACTCTGACAGTCACACAATGCACAAACGTCCCATTCTGTCGCCTTTGGCAGAAGCAGCTCCGTCTCGAGCTGACACTGAGCAATGTGCGCAAGTGTCGGGCCAACATGACTCGTCTGTCCTTTGTGTGTGCAATGCAAATGTGCTTCTTCTCTACTATCTCCTTGAGTAACCGACAACATCATCATTACGCAGCAGCCCAACAAATGGGTATGCCAATGAGGCAACGCCCGCCGCAGGAAGAGCAGCTGCGCTCAAAAAACATGAAAAGCTAGGGTAGTAGGGTAGTTAGAATATCCTTTATTTGTTTCGTTTTTTGCTTGCGGAAGTGATTGAACCACAAATGGCAGAGCATATTCAGTGAGAACGGGCAACTATAAGGCAAATCTAAATTACTGCACGGAACACGTTTTGCCAGGTTTTGTGTTAATGGTGATGACAGCAGCGGGTGCTTTCCTCTTTATATCCTGTTGTTTTTGTTGTAGGCAACAACTACTTGGCCAACTTGACATTTTCAGCGATGGTGGCCATATCAACGTAGACATATGTCACTCCGGGGTACGCCTCTCCTTGTCTACGACTCGGGCTGAAGCATCTGCCACGTGTGAAGAGAGACAACTGCAAGAGCCGACACGTGTTTGTCAGCGTGTCAAGCGGTCGAGTGCACAGCAGGAATCTCAAAAATACAAAGATATAATAATATATTATATGCATATGGAATGTCTCATGTTGTTTGAAATATGTTAACAAATTGTCACATAGATGTTAGTTTGTGCATGTGATTGACTTACTTGATGCGGTTCACGATTTTAATTTGTCAATAAACTTTAAATGAGTTGCTAAAACTTCCCTGTTGGTCAAATTGCTTTTTAGAAATATATAAATATAAAAGCTTATATAATTATGTGAGACATGTGATATGTATTAATTAAAGTAATTAAATCATATGGCTTTATTTATATTCTTAGCAGAATTTTTATTCTTGCATTATATTTAAAAAGTAATTTTTTTAATTTAATTTACTTGTATTAATTCTGAGCAATTTTTCTATTTACAGATTCGTGTTCATTCGTAGCCCTAAGCACCACATACGTGTTAAATTTGTTTTGATTGAACTGCGCAAACTCCGCAAACGTCAAACGTCAATCGAAAGCAGCGCTGCTTCGGCCGCTGTCGCAGTCGCTGTCGCTGCCTCTGCAATATTCACTCAAACATTTTCCCGTTAGCCAAGATTTCAGTTACTTAGCGGCTTTTGTGCGCAACGCAACAGAACGGAACATGTATTGAATGGTTTGACGTAACGAGCAACGTGTTTAACGTAAGCATAGCAACAACAGCAACAAGAAACAGAACAACATCAAATAACTATCCGGAATTGAAATGAATGTTTGCCCAGTGTCAAAGAACCGTAAAAATAGGAAAAAATCGAAGTAAGGCAATCAAAAGGCAACGACCCCCGTGTGTGTGTGTATTTCTAGGCATGTGTGTTTGCCTTATACATACAATAACAAAAGAAACAATAACTTGTTGTTCTAGCCATGTGCTACGACATAAGCTTATATCAATTAACAGACGATTACATACCCAAACAATTTCAATGAATGAATATGTGACAATAAGTACAACAGAATCAGATTAAGGATTTAAAAATAAAAAATAATCCTAATAGAGATGGATGCAAGTAAAGTTAAATTTAATAAGTTGCATCAACAGCAAAATAAGAAAATAATATAATATATGCATATATTCAATGATGTATTATCTGAGATATTGTTTCCTGGATTACATATTTTATGTGTGCTCTAGTAGGCGCTAATGCCTGTTTCTTATGGTCAAATTATCTATGTATATTTATACATTTAATCTTACTTACACACACACTGATATATTTATATTTATAAGCGATATATATAGATTTATATATATATATAAATATTTCAGTGTTAGATAGATATATATATATATATATATATATATATATATATATATATGTATACATATATATATATATATTTATGCAAATATAATAATTGCGTGGTTTGTTGCTGGAGTCGTGAATATTTTATTTTTTCGCGTGGCTTTCTCGCATTTGATATCCTGTAAATGCAATTCAACTGTCGAAATGGTCGGAAGGTTTTCCACCCACAATTATGCGCATATAAATTTAACCTCCTTTGCCTGTGTCAGTGCACGCGGTTTCCATGGCGTATGACTTTTTTTAATTAAATGCCAAAATAACTCAGCTGTTAAATGCTGCAACTGTCGGACTCGTTGCTCTGACTCCTAATTAACCTCTACAAGTGTGCGTCTCTGTGTGTATGTGCAAGCTATATTTAAATTTTATTTTCGGTTTTCTAGCTGCAGTCGTGTTAATATTATAAACAACTTTGTGAGTCTATCGTTCTCACAGAAAACTAAATTCAAGCATAAAGAAAGAAAAACACATTCAAAATAAACAAAAAAAAAACGAGTATTAATTGAAGAGCTGGCCATAGCTTTAATTAGCATCAATCTAAATAATTCATCGTATTTTAACGACAGACAAGTGAGTATTTTTGTACCTCAACATTATTTTCCATTATTTATGGCCTAATAAGTCATGGGAAAGGGGATAAAGCATTATTAATTAATTAAATAGATTTATATTTGTTTTAATAATATCGAATAAAGTATTTCTGTATTTAATTCAAGGCCGCTTTATAACTAATGTTGTCCTTTGAACGTATATATATATATATAGATATATATATATATATATATATATATATATATATATATATATATATATATATATATATATATATATATATATCTATATATATATATATATGTATATGCATGCATTCATACATATATACATATATACATACATACATACATGCATTCATGTACACAAATAATTTAACTGTAAGTAAAAAATGTAGGAGTCAAAATCAATTACGCAGCATAAATAACTTATGTAGTTATCTAAAGTATTCATATAGAACGAAATATTCATATACCATTATTCACGTAATTACCAACATTCATTTAGCTTTAGATCTGACTTACATATGTTTGTCTTCGGTAAACGGTTATATGTTATAGCAATCAGATAAGGTTAAGACATGTCGCCTTAAATAGCTGTACAATTCAATGGTTGTAAGCCAAGTGGAAGTGATTACGCTTGATCAGCTCATAGAATTTGTCGGTTATATCCTGAAACTCAATCAACATTTGCAGCTGTCGCAAATTTGTATTGAAAGCAATTCATTTACTAGCAATTGCCATATGAATCAATATGCAAATCTCGATGTGTACACAGTCCCAAGCTCCCTTTACCTATCGTATTACCCTCAACCTCTCACTTTCTCTCTCTGTACCTCTCCCTATCTTGTCTGATGCTAGCTGGACTGTCATGGTGCCAATCTATTCGCCTGTCAGTCAACCTTTAAGCCAACCACCCACATGCACAACGTACCATTGCGTTACGTTCGGTCCGACAGTTGGCATTTTGGCATATTTAATAATCTGCCAATTCATCAGCGCTTGGGACTTAAAAGTGTATTGTTTGACAGACATTTAGAACAACGCACACACAGCTGTTATTATAAAAAAGTCCTTCTAAGCCAAACAAAAATATAGCAGTAACAACAAAAGCGGGAAAATAATCATCAGCCACCTGTATGGGCTTGGGTTTCTGCTTACGTCCACAAAGTATTGTTTGAAGTGAAAGCTGAGCAATCAGAGATATTGTATATGGCAAGTTAAAGCTAGCTTAAGCCAAGTATTATTGCGTTAAAACCGAGCCACATTTTACGTATACGCAACGTCTGTACCCAAAATTAGCAGCCATCACGATTTCGGCTGTGAAGCGTGTTCGTGACCTGTCCCATGTGTATGGCCGTGTGTTTGACTGTGTGTGTGATGCTTATCTGCCATCGTTGTAATTGCTGGCTCACTCCTGTAGCACTTAAATAGCGCGTTGTCCATTTGCGGTCACTCAACATGTTATTGCATGAAAATATAACTGTGGCCGGCTCTTACGGTCTATGGTCAGCATAATTACGCACGCATTTGGAGCTAATAAAGAATACATTTACTCAAATGTGTATTAGATTATATTATATGACGTGAGCGTAACATAAAAAGCTGAAAATAGAAGTTCAAACATTTTGCATTGTACAGTTCTTTGATATTAATAAGCACCGTATAAAATATATAAGTAAACAATTTCCCGATCTTCTGTAAGTCTGACAAATGTCACAAGATTGTTACTCTATTATTATCAGGTAACCAAAATAGACTTAAGCTAAAAACAACTTTAAGTAACTTACCCATAATAACTAAACCCTTATGCAGCATAAGACAACTATCAAGGTTATCACGCAGAAGAACCCATATCAAGGCATTCGAGCAAAAGCACGAACTATCTGCGACAATTTGTTAACATATTTCAAACAACAACAGGGACATCCACATTCCATATTCTATATGCATATAATACATTATTATATCTTTGTATATTTCACACTCCTGCTGTGCACTCGACCGCTTGACACGCTGACAAACACGTGTCGTCTCCTGCGGTTGTCTCTCTTCAAATGTGGCAGATGCTTCAACCCGAGTCGTCGACAAAGCGAGAAGCAGCTCGGAGTGACATATGTCCACATATGTCTTGATATGACCATAGTCGAGCTCTGAAAATGTCAAGTTGGCCAAGTAGTTGTTGCCTACAACAAAAACAACAGGATATAAAGAGGAAAGCACCCGCTGCTGTCATCACCATTAACACAAAACCTGGCAAAACGTGTTCCGTGCAGTAATTTAGATTTGCCTTATAGTTGCCCGTTCTCACTGAATATGCTCTGCCATTTGTGGTTCAATCACTTCCGCAAGCAAAAAACGAAACAAATAAAGGATATTCTAACTACCCTACTACCCTAGCTTTTCATGTTTTTTGAGCGCAGCTGCTCTTCCTGCGGCGGGCGTTGCCTCATTGGCATACCCATTTGTTGGGCTGCTGCGTAATGATGATGTTGTCGGTTACTTAAGGAGATAGTAGGGAAGAAGCACATTCGCATTGCATACACAAAGGACAGACGAGTTATGTTGGCCCGACACTTGCGCACATTGCTCAGTGTCAGCTCGAGACGGAGCTGCTTCTGCCAAAGGCGACAGAATGGGACGTTTGTGCATTGTGTGACTGTCAGAGTGTCAGTTTGTCACTCTGTCAGTCAGGCAGCAGAATTCTGTGTAGGACACGCCGTGCAATCTAGGCACTGCTTTGGCTTTTGAATTCTGTGATTTAAAGATGAAGCTTGAAATGTTTATCTTTGTCCTTTACTCTCAGTGCACACATCAATTAGCCAATTGGGCATTAGTTGCTCTTTTGTTGTATCGTGGGCCACATTCAAATGGAAAGTCAACAGTCAAGTAAACATAAGAATAAACAGCCCGCAGCAATTCATGATAAACATTTGCACGACTGACAATTCAGCAATTCGCTTTGTTTCTGCTGGCAACGCAAATTGAGAAGCAAACAAACTGGGACTACAAAAAGTGAACTCGCTAGAGAATAGTGAGAAGTCCTAATTTGAAGAGGCCCTGTAGGAGCCATTGTAATCAATTTGCAGATAAAAATTCACACATGTAGAAGTTTATCTATTCGTTAGATTGTGGTTGAGTACATTAAGCGAATGATCTCATTGGTGAGACTTCATTCCATTTTGCATTCAATTTTCTTTTATGCTGATATAAACGAAATCAATTTGTGTACACATGGATTGTTTGTTTTAGCTGTTGCCTAAACAGATACCAGAAATTTGCCAGATATTCTATAAATAATTCAGACGGCCAAAATATTTTGCCTTATTTTCTGTGTGTTTTTCAGAATTATTTACATTCACTTTATGGTTCGGCTGTATTTACCTATCAGTCTTGAAAAATGATCTGCGAATATGGAAAAATATTTCAAATTAAATATGATTATGTGTGAAATTCAGATATTTTTCTAAATCACTCTTAGTTGAATTAAAAAATAATAGAATAAGCATCGGTTCGAGTTTCAGCTCAATCTGCTATGAGTCGAATAAAGCCATTAAAATGCAATTCGAAATTCCTTTCTAAACCGCAAAAACGTTTCACTGGCTACTATTCTCTTGAACTGAGTAGCAACCCAGGTGGACTCGACTGAAAATAAGTCTATCAGCCCAACGGAGCGTTTATCATTTTAACAGCCGGCAATTTAGGGATTGATAGCAAGTGATTTAAACTGCAAAACAATTTGCCACACAGTTGCCTTGCGCTTGCTTATAAAAAAAAAAAACAAAAAAGCTCGCAAACATGTTGTGCCCCACCAAGCAGTTGCTCGACACCACTTACCCACCTCGATTCCCTAACGAGCGGGAAACGGAAAACCAGATTTCGAAATTGATGTGAATTTGAAACGAAAAATACAATTCATTTCCAGTAGCTGACGGAAAGCCCAAAACCCTGAAACCAATAGCAAAGAGAATCACAGAAGCTTAGCCACCTCCTTCTTCTAGTGGGCAATTGGCAGGTGCGCAACTGGCAGACAACCTCTGAGGGAAAGAGAGCAAGATACAGACTGTGAAATGAATTTCAATGCTGAAGCCAAAATCAGTTTAAGAAGAGAAAAAGGTGTGAGTTGCTCTCAACAAACGCCTCAGCATCAATTGGATTTCCATGTTGAACGAGACGACTCCTGGAGGGGGCGAGGTGAGAAATTGAAATCATTTCTCAGTGTCAGGTTGAATATGAAAAGCTTTCGCTTATACTTTTCACATTCGCATAACAGATTGTATTGCATTTATGCCCATTGTGCGAAAGACTTCCATTCTGTTGCCTCTTTCTGTTGAGAATTGTGAATGGCGTTGGCATTGGCATCGCCCCTTGACAGAGAGATTTCTGCCTTCAATGGCATTCAGAAGGGTATACAATAAACGGATTTGCCGCATGATAAGCAGATAGGAGATAAGAAGACCCAACAGGTAGACGAGATGACTTTCAGTCCTGTTGAGATGAGAATAAGGACACAATCTGTCTGCTCAAATGCTGCTGATAAAGTTATATGTATAATTAATAAGCCTGCCTCTGCTTTATAAAAAATACTCATTATAATAAGAGAGGGCATCCTCTAGTCGAAGCTCATGCCAATGACATTTGGCTATGAGAAAGCAGGAATCAGGACTCCCGAGAAGTGGGTGGGTAGCCGAGACCCATTGTCGTCACTTTTACACTCTTGGGATATTATAAGCAGCTACACGAACAGGCTGGTTCCTTGCCCCTCGAGGTCAGAGACCCGGCTTTGTCTGGCCATAACTCTACAAATTAACTTTCTGCTTTGTGGCACTTTTAAGAAGTTTAACAATGCGAGAACCATTAGTTGAAGCGAGGCTTAAGGTAAGCTCTTAATTAGAGTAAACAAACAATTTACTAATTAATAAAAGAAAGTAGTTTAAACTGCATGGTACAAAATCAAACTCTGTGAATGGCGAGTAAAAATATAGCTGACCTGTTATATATTCCAGAGATGCTGATCCA